ACACTCATTGTTATCCCTAAATGCACGCTCTCAACTTTTCATTCCCAAGGGCGTGCATTTAGGGAGAGTTGACTGTAATACATATAAATTGTGACACACAACTAAACCGAAACCGCGTTCTAAAGAATTCACAATGGCTTACCTCAGTATTATAAAATTATAACTTTTACTCGCAATTCCTACGTTTGGAATTTCTATAGCCTTTACGCTTAAACAAGAGTAACGTTAGTCCAAAAATCTTGACCTCCACGTGATCATTGTTTTTATTTTTTTATTGTGGCAAAAAAGGGCAAAACCATTGATCCTAAAAAATTTTGTCAATGCTTTTGCCAAAAAAAGCATATTAAAATAAGACGTTTAGTTAGCCGTAAATATGTGGCGTTTTCCAGCCGATGTTAATATTAATATCAGTATTAATATTAACCATCATGACAATTAACTGATATTTCGAATTGTGTTATTTTCAGCCATCATCATGTGACGTAAACGTGTAATGACGGAATAGTCTTCCGACTTCTAATCCCCCAAAACGAGGGAGAATAACCTTTATTTAAAATTTTCTGAAATGGCACGTCTGCAAATTTTTGATCACCTCGTCAAATGCCTTTAAAACTGTATCGATTGGATTACCCTGTTACTTTATTGTTTCTGTTCCAGCTTTCATCCTTCACTACTCTTGCATACCAGAATAGTCATCGTGAGATGTTTATTTAAACTAAATTTGGCTAATGACATAATTTTCTTTCCGTGAATCACGTCTTGACGCTATGTATGGGGCTTGGGACAACGATTTTTTGTCACTGTAAACACTATAAGCAGAGTTATTATATAGAAAGTCCGACTCTTGGTTATTAGGTTCACTACAGATAACGTCAATTGTATGGCATCGTATGATAATGGCCTGATGTTTTTTGTCGTAACTTTTTCAGCGCGTTGACAACTGTGTTGGTGTGAGAATTCACACTAAAAAACGGAACATTAATATAAACGTTTAATTCAGGCTTAGAACAACAAGTTTATAGACACTATAGACAGACATATTAACAAAGTTTATTATAAACAGATTTATTATTTGTAGAAATTTGGTTTATTCTAGGTTTACTGTTACTATAAATTGTGTCGAGCGAACTGTTAGTATTTAGAATAACGTTCTTGAACATACGGTACATTAATATGACCAACTACTATGTACTCTAAATTGCAAGACATTTGATCAGTGACTACACGTATCTATTAAATAATTATACATACTAAGCTTTAAAAAGTTTAAAAGATGTGTTTGATGACAAAATTAAAACAAAGTGATCTTTTTATTAAAAGTAATTTACATATAGTGGGAGTATCGAGAGGAAGGAAAACCACAATATAAAAGTGTCTAAAATAACATTATCAACAATAATGTATTCTCACAATTGTTCGAATTTCTACTGTCCGTATTTGGAGCTGGTTTCGTGAGGGTAGTAATTTGACTACGAATAAATTGACATGTGTTTATATGCAAGAGTAGTTGACTGTAAACAATCACAGTAGTCACGAATTATACCCTATAATGGCTTTAGACTGTTCAGTTCTAGACGATAACAAAAAATATTGTACGACTTTATTACCAACATTTCTCGATTTCTCACGCGAAAGACACGGTCAAATTTGTCAAAACTTGAATTCAAATTTCATGTGATCATTGGATAGAAATTCTACACATCAGCTCAAATTTGGTTTAGAACATAAATTGATGTGCTGACGAGCTTTCCGCCCCTAATCATGTGGGTTTCATAATAACGATAATATTACATTACGTTGATAACTTTTCGAACAGATACAGCAAGTAATTAGACATTATTAATTCAACTTTTAATTTACGCCAGGGACTAAATGTCTTAACTTTAACATAAAGTTTTTATTTCTTTAATTAATCAAAACAATTTTTTCATATGACTAAATAACTTTGTAAAAATAGTAATTTGAGACTAATTATTTCTTGCAGCATTATTGAAAATACTTACTCAAGTTACATAGGAGAATGGCATTCATATAATAGTAAACGTTCATATGTCCGATTATCCAGCAAATAGCAAAGTCTGCAATTACTGCTGACTGTGCTGACGACTCTATTGACATCGATTTAGTTTTATAACGCAAGGACACAACTGCCTGTAACTATAATGACAGTTGAGTTTATGGCAAGGACGATTAGACTGGATGTTCTTGACAGAGTGTGCGTTGAACCTTGGCAACAACGGAGACTTGACGGACGAGTTTAACGCGTTAGAGTTGCCTTCATTTAATGTTGAAAAATTACCAGCAACCATATTTAAAGGAAACTGATAACCCGAATTGATTGATAAATCGACATATCGATTCGAATTCTGATTCATATCAGATTGTGGCCTGATGTTACATGAAGCGTCTTGCACTTGTAAGTTTAACGTTGTTACGGTTGGCAGTCGGCCGTCAATATGAATGTCGTTTTCATTGTCAGCATTGATCCCATTATTACTGTTCTTATTCTTATTAAAAGCAATATATTTCAACTCTTCTTCAATCTCGTCATCACCAAGCACAAATATTCGATTGAGTAAATTCATATTCGCTTCACTTGTGCGTTTACGTTTACTCGACTGATCATTTGTATAATTATCGGACGAATTGTCGGACGTTATCCTCATCCCTCCCGAATTATCTGCGCTAAATCTTCCCCTCCTGTCCATTACTCTCTCGTTAGCATCTTTTGTTTTGGTACGTTCTTGCTTACTCCAAATTTGTACAAAATTCATACGTTGTAATCTGGTTCGAAACACAACATCCTCTTCGAATCCCTTACGTTTTCTCAATACAAACGCAGAGACAGTCTGTTGCGTCACCTCATCGCCGTTAGTCAAAGCTGGTAACCAGAGCAGAGGCACATGAGCCGCCATGGACAATTTCTCATCATCTGATCCTTCAGTACAGAGAAGATAACTGTCTGCAAAGTAAACTGGGCGAAAGTTGCATTTCTTATGTTCATTAATCGAATGGCCTCGGTCTATATCTGATTCGACTCTTACATTATTAGCGCCTGTTGATGATAGGCTTACATCATTACCATAGTTATTGCTTTTATTGTTCACAGATAAGAAGTTAATTAGATCATCCAGCAATGTAATCAAATTTTTGTATATACGTCGAATATATGAGGTCTCTCCAAATCGTTGCCTGACTGCAATCTCATCGGTCAACATAATTCGCATCGTCTCTAGCGGCATGTTTGTCGTAGCTAATTGCTTGTAGTAATCGACGGCACGCTTTTTAAAAGGAACAGCATCGTATTCCTGCACACTGTTATTTCTGCTGTCAATTGACTGTTCTGTTAATTTGAGTACTAGAGGAATGCGCTCGATCTCTCTCTGCGTTATTTGTATAATGTCGGCACAAACTATTCCGTTGTTTTGAAAGCATTTTGCTTGGATACGATACAATATGCGAGACGCTAAAAGGAGTAAGAGAAAATCAGAGCGAGTACTGGGGATAGAATCGACATCGACAAGGCCTTTCTCTTCCCTACGAGTAAGACGGCTTTTTAGTTTCGGCATCGGGGATGGCAAGACGTTGGAATAAGTTGATAAAAGATTTTAATTACTAAAATCTAATGATATCAGTTATTACGGTAACAAGTAAAGCTGACGCGTAATGACAAAGAAAAAAACGATATGACACTTGTATCTGGATTTGGTTATGTGGTAATGAAGGAGTCGTTCGATTATATATATGTAATAAACCTTTTTTTTTTTGAATGGTGTCTAAACTAACAACGATCAAATGATACTTGCATAAGCAGTCAGATGGATAATTAAGCTGCATAAATAATGTATTGGTACATTAACTTAACCGATTTACCTCTCGAGAGAAAAGAAATGTAATATCTTTAATTGTTTTATTTATTCTAAATGTCATATAATGAGTAATGGATATCGATGGATAACCTGTTTAATGATGTGCTATCACGAGAATCAATGTTGCAAAAATTCAACGATGATGGTAACAGTTGTTAATTGATTGCTAAAATTGGGAAACGGCTGACGAATAACATGTAAAGGAAAAGGTTATCGATGAAAAGATCGGGCCTCGCCTGTTTTATTTGAAGCGTATAGTGAGACTCGATCAAAAGCGTTCTATTCGTAAGAAATGTTGCTTTTAAGCACTGGGTTTCACTTGTCAAATAGGTTGGGAGTGTGTTTTCTTGGACGGTGGTTATGTAAAGGGGCTTTGCTGCAGGGATCACAAATGCGAAAGGGCAATAATAGTAATAAGTAACAATTATAAAGTTAATGTCGCCATTATTGCTGTGGCTCATTATTATTGTTGTGTTGCCATTATTATTTCTATTATGGTTAGCTTGGTTTGTTATTTTTATCGCAGTCGAGATTATCGCTCATCTTATTATTTACTATCGTTATTGTTAAAATGCATGTGTTTCATTTCATTGGTTGATATGTACGACAAGAGTAACTTACACATACCATATGCGTCAAGGCATTTTAATGTAAATATGGCTTTTAGTGTAATGCTGCTTATGCAGATCCATGTTGTAGAAAGTAATCTAAATAAAATACTTATTACTACATTAAAACGGAAGGGGGCCGGGATTGCAAAGTCTATATTTCGAACCAGCGTAGACGTTGTTGATAATTAACAATATGATGTTGATGAAATTGCAGTTTATCTTCTTGGACTCTTCCGCTCTTTGCACGACATTACATTAACTCTTTCATTGTTTTATTCTCTGATATTAACAATTGTAACTTGGAATAACTTTGTAAGTTCCGAAATGACAATAGCTGCGTTATTTGGTTTGCTAATATTAATGTGACTATTTTGAATACTCTCCCCCTTTGATTTAAATTCTCCATGTATTATTCTTATTGTCTCGTCCCCGAATATCGTAATGAATACATTCCCACATACTGCCAGTATTATTATACACGTATTATTCCTGTTTCAGAGTATCTCATGATTCGTGTATAACGTAGCGTAGTTGATAATTGTAAAAAAAAATACTCAAAATGGTACTAACAATAATTAAGGTTACTTACGTCACCACTATTAAGGGAGAAATCGTAAAATATTAAATAACTCTGCACGTTTCGGGCAGGTCTCGGATTCCCTTTGTCATTGGACATACCACAAGAGCGATAAAATAGGAAGGGCGCAAAAAAAACGTTATTGAGTTTGCATATTACAAAATTAATTGCATATTATACTAAACAATGCTACTCTCATATCTTTTGTTGTTGATACATCCTATATCGAAACATATTACAATTAATTAATCCACGAAAATAAACTCTACTCTTCAGTTTACACTGTATAATAAGCATTCTTACCAACTATTCAACATGGTTTTGTCTTGCATATTGTTATTGCATGTCACTCAGTAATATTTATAAAGTCCATGTAGTCGTCTTATCGATCTTTCCAGTAAGCAAAAAATAATAATAATTCAGAGACGTAAACTCGTTAATATCTATGTTGACTCTCAAGGCTTGCAGTCTTGCTGTCACTGTTGTCATAAAATTAACACATCTCCCCCCCCGTAGTGTCTCTTATTCATTACGTAATGATAAAAAAAATCAGCGGGGTTCATTTTGATATTACGTCAGTATAAATTTGGCACAGCCACCCAATGCCAAGCGTCCCAAGCCTTTGTCTAGAAAATGGCTTCCCAGCGGAACTTTATTCTTGTGTCGTTTCCTTCATTCGCGTACACTCTTTGTTCATGTCATCATATCAAAAGACATCCCGCTCTTCCCTCTCTGCTCAACGGGATGAGTCCATATTAATAGGAGTAACAGATACGGAGAGAGTCTCAGAAAAAAATTACGATAGTAGAATAGTAATCTTATTATTAATCATACCAATATGGACATTTCTATTCACTGCCTTACCGGTCTTGATCAATTTTCAGGGTGTACTCGCGGATTTATACAGTAAGTCATGTCGTTAGGATTATCAAGATCAAAGAGAAATCAGACTTTTGAACTGATGATATTTTTCATCACATTTTCACTTTACAGGAATCGTCGAACCGATTGTCGGTCTTCCGTTATATTATTTCCTTCTCTTGTCTGCAGATGTGTTTACCACTGACATTAATCACAAGCGAAAATTCGGTATTTAAAACTCGATCTGTATAGTACAAAGGCAACCATATCGCGCCTCTTTTTTTCTTACCGAATTATGCAACTTGCGTTCGCTTTAGCCTTTGGCCTGTCTGAAAAATCGTTCCTGGGGTTATGGTTTATGATTGCGGGATCAATATACACTCAAGGTTCGTCAAAAAGTATCAATCAAATCGGCAGAGCACATTTGAGACAGCCCATTGAATTGTCCATTCATATCCCCCTCACTTTAACGTGTCTTCTAGGCGCTGCAATGCACGCGACAGCCATAATGGCAAAGCATGAAATCGAGAATGCAGAGGCTAATAACCCGCAGATGGTGTTAGCATATCCTGTAGTAAAGGATGTTGAAAATTATTATCGAGATACGCTCGAACATCTGGTAACAATTAATTACACATGGTTAATGACGTATTTTAATTTGGGCGAATAATATTTCCCGACTGGTCTATTTACTTTGGCTAACGCACTTGTTCTACACCTTCCCACTCTAATTCATTTATAGATCGGTCATTACATGTATGCCGGTGGTGCCATATTGATAGCCCTCTGTAATATAATCGCATTCAGGAATCAACGTCACAACTCTCCACACTCTGTTCCACTGATTATAGGATGGGTAATAGGGTCACTGATGTATGGCATTCTGATTGCGGGCGTGGCTATCGAATTTCCAAAAGGAACCATAGTAGGACTTGTCTATACCCTTGTACTGGGAATACTGCTTGGAATATTTCTAATTCGTGTGAAAGGAATATCCCTCCATGGAAGATGTCTTGTGCTCCAGTATTATCTCATGAGTTCCGTGGTAGCCTTAATTATTATTGTGATTTGGATCTGTATTCATGGATTCACAGACCGCAAGAGCGCAGGCTATCTCACGAATTAAGTTGAATTGGGAGAAAGTGGTGAGGGGAGTCGGAGTGGGAATCGGGAGTGGAAGGGGGGAGAGTGGGAGGAAGAATCGGGAAAAACCATTATAATCACAATAATTTATTACGTTACTGACGGTTGATGCCGTAAACCATAGCTCTTTCCATTCTTACCATTATAGATAAAAGAAAAGGTTTAACTTTTTGCAATTGAAAGTAAAATATCAAATTGCTTCCTTATAGTTAGACATATTTTTACGCTTGCATTTTCAAAGAGCGTGAGAATCGTTTACTTACTAGTGTGATAATATTTTTTAAAATCGAATCCGCTTGTGTGCTATGTATGACTGTACACATATGTCATATAACAATAAGAAAGACAGACACGAATAACTCCAACCATCATGCTTTCACATTTGGCGTGCTTGCTTGCACCTTTTACTCTTATTTCCTTCACGCCCTTCTTTCGCTCTGGAAAGGCAGCGATCGTCCATTACTGCAGGGTTGGGGGTCATCTGCATCATGTGAATACGGCACGGTAATTAAAATACTATTAACTGGGCGGGTAAAAACGGCTTACTCAACAACGTAAATCAGAATTGAACCAGTCAGTTTTGTCGAATTCCCACGCCTTACTAGCTCGTTTTTTATGAACCGGCCTGAGAAACGATACGAAAAGAGAATTGGTATTGCAGAGGTTGGACGTTCACCCCCCTCTTTTGACTCGATAAAAACAATTGTTCTTTTGACAGTAGCCCCTTTTTCAGAGCTGTAGAGTATGGTTTACCGCTGTGTCATGGAAGGACAGTTCTGTAGAAGAAGACACCTGGTTACTTGCGTGGTTGCCACTTTGACACAGTTCGAGATGTCAATGGGATCAGATGATAAAGTTCATTATTACAAAGAATTTTATTGGATAATAATATACGAATTAAAAGGCTATTGCACCCACACGCTACATTCACTACATACACTACATACACTACATACACTACATACACTACATTCACTACATACACTACATACACCGTACACTACATACACACTACGTACATGCCACATCCGAACAATCAATACTTTGTAATAAAATTTCTTCGCCTCCCTCATACGGGCTACGTAAGTTGGACGTATTAAAATACAGGTCTACCATTGTACAAGTGTCACTACACAAGAGAACAATATTCTTTGTATAACCATCGTCCGTAGAACACACAAGGAATGCGTCAGTGACATTGTTGGACGATAATGGCGTTTACCTTTTCGACAATGATGCAAGGGGAGAGGGGAATATTGTTAAGGTATATGTGCTATACTTGGAAAAAGCGTATGCAACATGAGCTTTAGTTGCTGTCACAAAAATACATTCGATTTTTTTGGTAGGCCTTTTGCGGCAGAATAATGATCGAGTCTTCTGACATGTCAGGGGAGTAACATGTTAACTGAATGATGTAATATATAGTCTTATTGGCCATCAATACCGAAAAGAATTTGTCCAGTAACTGAAAATTGTTTAATACATATTAGGATGTAAACTTAACTGGTTTAATAGTAACAGTAAATGTCTCTGATCTCGTAAGAAACCACACAAAGGTCATTATCATTCTATTTGGCACAAGTTAAATTATTGTCCCGATGACGGAACGATCCACGTTAAGAAGAGGTCTTCAATAATATAAATGGCAAAGGCCATTCTTTTAATAGTTTGTATACCTTTGTTAAACCATGCTTTTTTTTTTTCAAAAAAAAAACTTGTTATGAGTCGAAAATAAGACAATAATTCTGATTGTGTTCTCTCTTCTCTCTATCTTAATTATCTATTCATGTCCTCACTTGTTTGGATAGGAGAATAAGAAGAACTAGGGAATCGATAAAATTATGACAATAAACATCGACAGTAAGCATGAATGGAACGAAGAGGGGGGGGGGGGGGGCAATCTAAGCTGACCATACACGGGTTTCAGTTGCTCGACTGAAAACATCCCCAAACCTTAAAAGCATACATAACAACCATAATAGAACAGACAATTAAAAATTAAAATTATATTTATTCTTTTTTTTTTTTTGATTGCTCACCTTTGCAGGGTGTGTGTTACATCTGTTCATGACAATATACGTGAATAGTATAATTCTATAATGTGCTTTAAAAGGTTAAATTTAGTTACTGAGTCACAGTGAAAAAAAAAATACCGCAGTTCAAAAGGTTCTTCAAAGTTCAGACTCTTTTTTCTTTCAATACTCCAGCGTAAGTGCAGATATGTTTTTAAATGTAGAGTGAATTATTTTAGTTAGACAATTTACTAATAAAGTTATGCCTATGTATTTATATTAATTGAATAAACAATTTAATGTACATGTATCCCGACGTACAAATTCACTATCGATCATATATATATCACTTATACTTTCGATTATACATACATCTCTTAGTCCTTTATTAGAACTGTTTGTTGATACATCCTATATCGAAACATATTACAATTAATTAATCCACGAAAATAAACTCTACTCTTCAGTTTACACT